AGTTGTTTTTACAGTTAGCAATAAAAACACTAAACAGTTCTCGAATCGCCGCCAATTTATCAGTTTCTTGACGTTGTAATCTAGTGGTTTTGTCATCAAACCTGACATGCCTTAGAAGAAATCGAAATCTTTCTAGCGACATTGTTAGCCTAAACATTTCGATGGATGTACCGTTGGTTTTCCACAAATCATTGGCATTCAAGTGATTTGCTTTGCGTACTCCGTCGAAATATAATAAACCTAGTAGGGCTTTTAGTTCAATTAGGTCAGTACATCTGGCGGTTCGGTATTCTTTGTCATATTGTCCTTGTCTGATGGAGAGATTTGTATTATTTAGAATTATATTCAAAATTTCATCATCAAAGAAACATTTCCATATATCTACAACGCTTTTCAAATTTTTTGCAGGACCCCTGGAAAATGAGTGACGATATTTTTTGAACGGGTTCTTACCTTTTGAGAAGGTAAATGCTTTCTCCATGCACTTTCATCTTTTCCAGTAAAATAAGGTTCAATACAACGTCTCTTGGCCTCCTGCTGGGGAAATGTATCATCTTCGTCAGTGGTTTCTTCATCTAAATCTTGTTCTGATTCGGAATCACCATCACGCTCCTCAATCAAGTCGGTTTTCTCAAAATCTTCCTGGTCGTCGTAATCTATAGCTGACGTATTGCATTCTTCCTCCCATAACCGCAGATTATGAGCTTGTTGTTGTTCGAAACTCATTCGAGACAAACGTTATCACGACAATATAAAGTAAATGTTACGCCAGTGACTCACCTACTACGAAAAAAAATTGTGTAACACGACTACTAACATGGGTCTCAGATTCCACAAGGAGAAAAAATGCCTCTAAAATAAACGACCGAACGTGACACTTTGCTAACGTTAAGAAGACTGAATAAAATGAAGGTACTGACAAGACTAGAATTGCACATGCGCATTTCAGTTACAACAATAAATCTGTACCCGTGGTCTCACAGACCGCGTGTTAGTACTGAAAGGTTAAAATTTATATATTTCGGTTGGCATTGCAACCTTCATCCGACTACTAAAATGTTAATGTGATTATTCGATACAAACGGTTACAAAAACATAATTTTTTTAAGTTGGTTCGAAACTGACCAAGAAAACAAATTGTTCGAGCAAAATTGTAACAAGTCCTTATTGACGAGCAGACACATGTATCCAGTGGCAGCATAGGATATATACGACAAACAACGAAAATGTGGTATATAGCTATTTTAACTCTAGCGCGGCTCCTACTCCTATTCGTGAAGATCTACTGAGCCCTTCTGGGAGTGAACATTCGGTAGAGTCTTATATTCAAAGGTTTCAGCCGTCATATTCTAAGCAGAAATAATACCAATTTTTGTGTATTTAAATAAAAGTATTTTTAATATTTAACTAGTAGAAAATTTTTAATATTCAAAAATTTGTTATAGATTAAGTACTAAAAGTACAACATTTTTCCTGTTTTACATTTATGATGATGCAGCCAAAGTTGATTACTAGTTATATTATGGAAAATTCAGTAAATTTTTTTCGAAAGTTGCAATATTTAGCTTCTGTTTCGTACCGCGTTTAGGGTGTAAATCATTCTTCTTCTGTAATTATAAAATAATTGCTTCGGGTGATTTTTTAAATCTTGCCAGATATGTCTGAATTCCCCAAATTCATTTCTTTCGAGTAGTACTATTACCCAAACTGCTCTTCTACGACGTCGTAGTCGTCGTCTTCTTGTTATCAGAGCATTTTCTAATAAATATAATTCACAAGCAGCATCCTTCGTCCACTTCAGCTCACCCAACCAGCAAGAAAATGTTTTTAAAACATTACAACGTTCAAAATTAAAAAAATTAAATGTTTGAAACACATTTCGCAATCAATATATTTTTTTGTAACGTTTTCCAGCTACTTTTAAGGAAATGTGGTCTTGTACAATATAATTTTCGTGTGTTAATTTTAAGGTAAACAACCTTGAAGATTTGAAAAGCGATATCGGTCAAGTGCCAAAAACATAGGCATATGGGTCTTAATATGCCTATGGCCAAAAGCCGCAGAAAACTTACGGCTGGATATACAAGCGGCCAGCGGGTGTTTATTAATAAGCACTAGCCGAATGCGACTTGTATTTATTCTGTGCTCACGCGCGAAATAATATAATATAGGTTATGTTTAATAATTAGTGGCGTAGTTAATTGATTAGTTCAGTGAGAAGAGTTTTTACTTATACTTCATAGACTTAAATAGTGTAATTAGTCCATAGTTTAATAGTACATAAACTGGCACGAACCATATGATTAATTAAAATTGGTTCAGTTTTGGTTCGTTTTTAGCGCATTTTTGCAAAAATTTTTTTTGTAAAAAGTAGCTTTTAATCTCACTTTGGCTGGCTGGCTGGCTGGCTGGCAGTAAATGCGCGCCCGTAGAAAAACGCTTGTAAAAAGGCAAGGAGTGTACATGTAACTATCGGGGCCGTGTAATTAAGAACGTTAGGGATGGGGCTACAAGATTTGGAGTCGACGACATCTGGACGCCATCCCCGAGCGTATTATACTAACCTGGAGATTTTTCAGTTTTTATCTATCTTCTTCTACAGTTTTTCTCCGATTGTTTTCAAATTGGTGTCGTCGGGAAGATCTTGTCAACGCGCACAACTCCTGCGTGGCGGAATTTTGTTTTTTTTTTCCTAGGGGCGAAATAAACCACCTTTTGCGCGGCGCGCTTCGAGGGGTAGTCGACTTTGGGCGCCCAAAAGTTTCTTACAGCGCGAATCGCGGTCTCTCTTTCTCTGTCACTAATAGAAGGTCGAGCTATGTGAAGTACCCAAAAGTTGAATACGATTTTATGCCGGGATTTTAGCGAAATCTACCAAAATGTGAATTACGAATGAACGGGACGTCGGAACTATGTATCGACAAAGGGAATGTGGTAACCCCCGACGAGATCTTACTGATGGTGGAGTCGAAACTTCAAACGCGAATTGCGAGTGCACGGTAAGTGAGAAAATGGTACCGACAAAGAACGTGGTAGCTTTCGGCAAGATCTTATTGATGGTGGAGTCAATATTGGCTAATAAAACACTGATCTGCCACACAAAAATGCGCTGAAGTCCCTTCGATCTCACACGAGGACTTTGATCATTTTTTGTAAATAGGCATTTTTACCAAAATCGTCATCACCAATTTTTCTAGTTTTAACAAGAAAAAAGAAAACGTTTACCTTTTAAATCCTTGTCTCAGCGAAGAACACATGATAATGATTATGGCGGTGTTGATCAGATTAGTAAAAAGTACGATGAAAATATCGACTTTCAGCAATCACCTCGGCACCGGTCCTTAGGCCAAAAAGACCGTACACAAAGCTAGCTAGCTCAAACCTTATCTTTCTCGGAACAAAACTTCTCCCCAGCACAGAGGAGGAATTCGACTGCTCTCAGTTAAATTATTAACTTCTACCAGATAGTGGGTTGGACCAAAGACCTTAAATTCCAAATCGATCTTAAGAATTTTGATTAAATAAAATGGACCTTGGGCAAGGATCCAAAGAATTAAAGACAATGAAATCGTTGGAATGACACACAGAAATTAATGTGAGAATTACAAATTTCAGTTTTAATGGTCTCACACACACACACAATGAAAATAAAACAACAAGAAAAACAAACAATTGTTACAAAGAAAACTAAAATTAAAACTTATCTACTTACATTAGGTACATGTCCAGGACTTCTAATCCAAGTACGGTACACAAAAACAACAAATTTCAAATTAAACAAACACACTAAAGTCGGCGCCGACCACACCTTATTGACGCACTTTATTGAAGGCCCAAACTTCCAAAAATGCCTCGAAAACTGCCGCAACACAAACTTGCTGCGAACTCGGCTTGTTTCTACGTATAACGGAAACAGTTCTAACTTCCAATGCTGGTTGGCTTCTACACAAAACAAACTACGGCTGTAACACGCACGAAACAAAAAAATGTTCTTCAATGTGAAGTAATTACGGCCCTGACTGGCAACCAAACTGACGATATAACTTCAAGACTCCAAAACAAAACTTCAAACTTCAGCAAACGTGGATCTGCTCTCAAACTCGCAATACGCTGATTTCAAAATTTAAACAAACGTAGTTCCGCTCTGAACTTGGCAAAAAGCTGAATAACTTCTTCAAAGAAACGTAGTTCTGCGTTGACTGTGGCAAAAAGCCCTTCCTCTTCTCAGTCCGTTCTATTTAAGGAGGAAACCCTTCTTCCAAAATTACAAATTAAAACAGCCAATGATAGCCAGTTGACAACAGAAAATTTCCCCCCTAACGTACGTAAAACTAGAGGTAGAAATTAATTTTATAAACAAATTTTAACCGACATTAAGAGATAACACAAAACTTAAAATACTAGGAAAAATAGAACTTTCTTTCTTTAAAATACAAAGAAAGGGCGATAAATAACATCCACCTGTCAATTAAATTAAACGTTTACAATCATAACAGAATAAAAGCGATATAAAATTCTCAGAAATCTACGTTGAATAAAATTAAAAATGCGATTAAAAATGTAAACAAAAACAGAACAAAAAAGAAAGGGGTCAACTTTCTCGTCTGACAATAATTTCTGTTTCAGTAATTAACCAACGACACAAAACAAAAATTTAAATTATGAACATTAATCACATGGAAATAGGAAACCGCCCTTGTCCATCCTAGTTATGAATCCCAAAATTTCGTCCTGCCAGACGAAATATCACAGCAATATATATGTGTTTTTACCTGTGTGCGTGGGTTTGCGTTTGTATGTGTGTACGAGGAGGGACCCAAAAGTACCGGGAATTGGACTGCGGGGGGAAGGAGAGTGGGGGAACCAATATTGTTCAAGCAGGTGTCCGTTAGCGTCACGCTCCTGAGTCAGTGCGCGTAGTTTGCGTCGTTGTGAGTGCATCGGTTCGCACGTGAGAATTTTTTTAGTAAAACAACTTTTTCTATTTCGCCGAAAACGTGATGGCAGATTGTCGAGAACAACTCGCGGCTGTAAAATTGTGTTTCCTGTTGGGGAAATCGGCCGCGGAAACTATTGTAATGCTTAAGACTGCTTATGGGGATGCTGCCCTAAGTAAAACCAGAGTCTACAAGTGGTTTTCACGTTTTAAAAATGGGGAAATGACAATTGGAGACCAACCTCGTTCAGGATCCCGAAACAAAGCAGCAATGGAGTCAGTGGAAGACAGGTGGCTCTCCACGTCCCATAAAAGCTCGCCAAGTAAAATCAAACATCAAGACAATGCTGATTTGTTTCTTCGATTGCAGAGGTGTTGTGCACGCGGAGTTAACGCCCCCGGGCCAAACTGTTAACCAGAAGTTCTACTTGGAAGCTTTGAAAAGATTGAGGGAGAGTATCCGGAAGAAAAGGGCAGATCTTTGGGACACATAGATATATAAACCTCTATCTGTTAAAAAATTGGAAATTTAGTGTAACATTACATTTAAACTAATATTACAAAAATATTCATTGTTTATAGTTCTGTGGGCGTCACAAAACAATAACCCTGCATCACACTGTACCCTATCACGAATACAACTTTTTAATTTATATTTAGTGATTAGCTGAAAATCTGTTGCCTAGCAATTAGACGAGAAAAACTGTCAACTAATAAAAATGCGACACCGCAGGTGGAGCATTTTTAGGTTGACAGTTTTTCGAGTTCAATTGCTAAAAGGCAACAGATTTGAATTGCAACAACACAAATTTACTCGGTTTAAATACAAACCTCGAGTGTAATTCGGCAGGACAATTTAACGAACAAGAAATTCACATAACTAATCAATTACTGACAGACGTCAAACTAGTCATATGGGAAAGGATAATGCGATAATTGGTTCGAAAATGAATAAGTGAAAAAACCACTAGTGCATTTGTCGCTGGAAAAGTTGCAGGTAACTTTTGCCGCCGTCAAAGTGACAATTTCACTGCGGCTTATGCGATTTTTTATACATGAGTTGAATTGTCATATAAAGACGGAAACTTAGAAAAATAAAACCCGTATCTTTTTCAATAATCTGCGATGTCTCTCTTTATGTTGAATTCGCTGTTCTAAATATAATACTTTTCGTACTTCCGGGACTAAAGTAACAACTTCACTCCATTATGACAAGTACTGAAGTGTCACTTTTTGTCCCGCCGGGATTAAATTTGGACGAAAATCCCGGAAGGATGAAATTACTAACAAGGCAATTTCAGTAGGTTGTTCCACTTTTTGTATGCGGCACTACTTCTTAAACGCATCGTACTGCTGTTCATATAGTTTTTGGATTTCGGTGGTATCAATTCTTTACCTACTTTGGTTGCTTTTTATCAATATCAAATACACCTTTGTCACCTACCACCAAAATTATGACACTAGCAATGACAGTTCCTATGGTAACTTGTTGAGCAGCGATTTTTTGAAAGAACGCGTTCTCTAACTCAATACATATTAAGTGTTTCAGTTTCGGAAGTACGAAAAATATCGTATATACCTTGCGACTGAAGTAGTGGTCTTAATCCCTCAGGTAAATTATGGCCCTCCCTTCGTCGGGCCATAAACTTTACCTTCGGGATTAAAAGTACTACTTCAGTCCCGCGGTATATAATATACTATTGTGATATAAAAGACTTCAGTGTATATACTTAAAGCGCCTACCGAGTCATCTTTTTCACAATTAGCTCTAAGGGAATGTGAGGACACCAAATTATTAATAATAAGAGATTTGGAAGACATAGTAAATGAGGCACATGTGGGATATGTATTACGAACTCCATGACTTCGTATACATGAGAAAAAATTCTGAAGTTGGTTCTGATTAAAATCTCTAGGTGCAATAAACCAAAAACCCTTACTTATCAGTTTTGTCCATATATACATAAAATTTCTAAGTGTGGAAATCCAATTAGCGATGGAGTGACGACTGAACGTTTTGTTTTGGGATCAATAAAACTCATTGAATTAATAATTGGAATCGCATATGCTGTGATTTGTTGCTTACAACACATCGTAGCTTCTTAATGGAACTGTATAATGTATGCCCGTTGACACTATCAAAGAACTCATCAAAAAAGAGAAGCAGATCGGCGGTATCAAGAGTAGCAGGGTCAAGATATTCAGGGTGATTTGAATTACTGACTATATTTGACCTTATTTCTAATTGCAACCGCAACAATGAAACCAAACACTTGAGCAGTGTTTCACTGTCATTTTTTTTATTTTTTCAGAGAAAACATTCTCTTCTGTTAGTTTGGCAAATGTACTAAATTTACCATCAAGTTTATCTATCTTATATATATTTACAATGTGCTTCCAAGAAGCCACTTTTTTCTTTCCATTATGAGTGAAAGTCAGATCTTTACTTAGTAATACATTTCTAATACCTTTTAGAAGATGAATGGGCAATTAAATATGTGTACAATTTCCTTATTACACATATACTTATTAACGATCCTCGAGATCGTATATAAGTTTGTATTGCTGCCTGTGTATCTGTTTGTGTGCACGATAACTTTGTTTGGAAACGTCCAATCGCTTTGAAAATTGATACACATGTTCTTAAGGATATAATAAAGGTCGCTATTATTTTTCACCTACGTAGATATAAAAATAATGGATGCGTGAAGATTTCGAGGATCGTTTGATATTCAGTTGTATCGGATTTTTAGTTTTGACAATAAACTTATGTGGAATCATTATAGATCTTCGGGACTCTGTTGAACACCCAAATTGAGACGTTGACGGTACAGCCTGATCACTTATAAGTTGTATCCCCACTAATTCATCTACATCCATTGCAATTGGTAAATTGTATATTTATATTAATTAATATATTTGTGTTGATTATATAAAGGCATCAGTGACAAACTATTTTACCAGTTCATGAACTCTCTAATGTTGATTATCTCACGTACGTTAAATGGAGACATCTTGTTATTTCAGGGTTCTGTTACCTAATCGAATTAACCTCACCTGCATTTTTAGTGCCAGTGAAAGGATTAGGAAACTTCCAGTAGGACGACCACAGACACAAAGCGTCAGAAATAGCAAGTTGCCCAAGTATTATGAATGTTTGAAGGTAGACCTTGTTACATCCTAAATAAAAGAAGCGACTTTTCGGCGAAATTAATACTAAATGTTCTAATTGTTCGTAAAATTTGACTACAAATGGTCGCTGAAATGTAGATTACAAAGGAATTTCGTATGCTACGCGGTATAATAAATCTGCAGACATAAGGAATCCCTGAACGGAATTGTGTTGTAAGACAACAAACAGTAAATATCAAATCTGACGTCTTTTTATGGGCGGTGAAGGTATTCATATCAAACATGCAAAATATCGCATACCTGTTTTTTGTAGAGGAATTTTCATAGTAAAGTAATAATAGATGTATGTACCTACCTATACTAAGGAAATAAAACCCAGTATACGATACGCTACGTTTAGATAATACGAAATCTTACGCTGCCGTTTCAAAACAATTTGGAATTTAATATCAACTGTCATAATTGCACGCTGCTTTTCCAATATTTTATATACAGAATTTTGTTCTCCATATTCTTTCAACATTAAATTGAGATGAGTTATATTATCTAGTGGTTGCATCCTTTGCCGTCTCAGGTCTCTTCGTTGACATAGATACTGTAGCGTTTGTTCTGCTGCACTGCTGTTTTTCACGTGCTTTTCTTATAACTAAACTTCAAAGACTTATTTATTAGCGTGGTTCATGAAAACGGTAAATTGTCTAGCGTTCATAGAGTCGTATTATCTCCGCGTCTCAAAGGGAAAGCCGCCGAGACCGTAAAAAAACCTAACTTTGTGTGCATCAAATTATTAAATTCCGTGGGATAATTTGAAAAACAGATCTGACAACGGAAGAATCCTTCTTATGCACAATCACATAAAACCACTTTTTGACATGGAAACCATTTCCAAATAATTATCGCTTAAATTCAGGGACTAGAGGAAAGGTTCTTGCTTTTGTGAATTAACTGGTTTAACTTTGCGCGTCTTTTATGGTCTAATTCGAGATTGTTGTATATGATTTTTCTTGTAGGTCGTTGTATACAATTTCATATTCTATGTAGTGTAATTGTTGAAGTAGATGGTGATGGAGAAATTTAATCTTCGTGTGGATGAAGGTTCTTGCTTTACTTAACTTATAATTAAAGGCCGGATTTGTAGGCAAAATAAAATACGAAATTAGGCAAAAAAAATTAAAAACAGGCACTTTTCAGGCAAAAACAATCTAAAGCACAGACAAACATTTTTTGAAGTTTTATTTATACTATGCTATATTTACACGTAATATGAATGCGCTACTATGTATTTTTCTAAATTATGTTCTGTAAAATTCATCTTTCTATCACTCAAAATATATTTGTGCTTAGAAAATGAACGTTCTACATCACAAGAAGTGATCGGCGCGTATTTAAAACAGGATACTTCTTTCGGGGACAAGCCATCCACTATTCCACCATCTCCCTCAAGGGCAATTGTTATATTGTTAATTTTTTTCCAGCCAGGGTTTTTTTCCAGGACCATAACAATTTTCTGGTGAATTTTGTATCCCTTGACTCCTGGAAAATTTGAGCTTGATTCACCAACTTAGTGCTCTCCGTAAGAGGTAGAGATGGATCTTCCAATTGCTTGATTAAATCTGGAAGATGGCTAAAATGGGCTCCAATGTAGCCTAAATCAGCTACTACAGAATCACATTGAAACGCAGCTTTGGCATCTTTCAGAATTAGGCCTATGTCTTTGCACCCCGATTCTTCCTTTTCCTCGCACAAGTGATCTACGACCTGTTAACCACATAAAAACCATGAAGCTTTAGAAATACACATCTAACATTTACTTAAAAAAGAATTTGAATGTGCACCTTTTTTAACATCTCCAAAATTCTTGTTGTAATACAGAGCCGCCTCCAACCAAGTCCCCCAACGAGTGATGACGGGAGCTGGAGAAAGTGAAGTCTCGGGGAGCATATTTTTAAAGGTAGCGCACCTACTGGGGGTTTTTAGAAAAACTTTTTTAGCTGCTGAAATTAGAGCATTTACATTGGGAAAAATATTCCTAATTTCTTCCGGCACGCGATGCATGCCATGAGCTAAGCACTTTAAATGTATCATTTTTTCGTAAAAAAGCATTAAAGCTTTTCCTGCTTCTATCATGTAGGGGGCTGCATCTATGACAAGTAGCAAGAGGCGGCCGTCCCGGTCTTCAGCAGGCCAAAAAATTTCTATTGGAATGAAACGGAAGCAGTCAAGTACCTAACTCTGTATACGTTCTTTTGAAGTCTACTTACTCAATGCCGCTTTTACTGTACGAGGCGTGATTTGTAGCATCCAAAAATTTTGATAAAAGAAGACGAGACTTTGTGCCATTTGGAGAAAGGCCCCCAACCAC